CAACAAAAAAAAGGATTATTATTACTATTAATGTTGTTGTTATTTTGATCCTGATTCGTCTTCGTTCCTTTCTGTTTTCAGAGTGTGTTGAGGATTTTGCCTGTCTCTGAGGTTTGTCCAGACATCTGGTGGTTCGAGTCCCGCCCTGTCCTGACCAGTCCGCGGTGTCAGCGAGAAGTGTGTCAGTGACGTGCGACCTGTGAGGTGTCGCCTGTGACGTGTGACGCTGAGTAGTTACCGGCTGCAGGTGTGACTTGTGAGACGACCCCCGTCTACCTACCTACCTACCTTCTCACCCACTTTACATTACTGATTCGGAAGGGAGTTTTGAGCCCTCCCGCCCGCCCGCACACCTACCAGATCCACGTAATAGATTCTCAAGGAGTTTTGAGACAAGAGAAACTTTTGAGACGACCCCCGTCCGTTTACTAACTTCGCATCATAATCAAATATCATAGATTGTCAAGGGAGTTTTGAGCCTAAGGAGTTTGAGACCACCCCTGTTAGACGCACGCACGCATTACTGATTCCACATAATAGATTCTCAGGGGAGTTCTAAGACTCTGGAGTTTTGAGACGCCCCCTCCTGCCTGCCCACCTACTCCCGTCACATCATAATAATAGATTCCGTGAGGAGTTTTGAGACGACCCCCGCACGCGCCCCGGTGGTGAGCCCAGCAGTATGGCAGGCATGTCCGGACAGAACGGGCCCATGGATAGTTCGGCTGATGACGCTCAGAAGAAGCAGGGGACACGGTAAGGGACCAAGATTTGTGTGTGTGTGTGTGTGTGTGTGTGTGTGTGTGTGTGTGTGTATGTGTGTGTGTTCGTGAAGGATTTTGATCTATCTAAATATCGATCAATGGATCGATAGAAATACATGGATCGATGGATGGATGAATGAATGGGTGGATGGATGAAAGGACATGACTTACGGAGGTGGTAGCTGGCAAGCAAGCAGGAAGGAAAAACAAAAGGAAAAATACATTTTTAAAATATTTTTTTAAAACTTGGCTGTGAAGTGTTCGCTCCGTAGCCTCGCCTTTACACTCAAATCTGCGAGTAGTGGAGGGCACCACTGGAAGGTCTTACTTCTGTACGTTTTCTCTGTTGTTTCTGTCTGTCTGTCTTACATTTCCCCAGCACTATATGGCTAGTATTGTGTCGGTGTGCTTCTCTTTACTAAAAAAAACCCCACCCAAACACACGAACAATAAGTTTAACAACAACAACAAATAAGCAAACTAACAACTATCCAAAATGAAGGATAAAACACCGGTCTCGCTATAGTGGCAGGCGCACGACTGCAGCTTTCCCTTCGTGCTCTGCGAATTCCCTCAAATTTTTTCTCGTGTGCTTCAAAAGTACACCGGAAATACGCCAGAATACACCGTCCAGTTAAATATATTGTACTACA